ATGTTGCCAGATAAGGGTTGGTTACATACAGTGGTTAACATACAAATGATCCATTGGGCAAACAGGAATCATGACATTAGAAAATAGGTAAAGAAAAATTAGCTACCACCTATAGTCTGGTAGCACTGTGACCGTAATTGGGGTGGTGATGAAGACAGTTGCTAGGTAGATGGGGAGAGGCTGCTTACACATCAGACCTCCTCAGGTATAAAGCGAGTTCATATGCTTTCTTGTTAAGTGTGCCTCCGTGGACACCTTCCTTTCCCATGACTATAACCAATGCTGGAGTACACAGGGAAACAAAACAAAAGTGAACAGAATTATTTAAGGGGGGGGGGGAGGGCAGAAAGAAAGACACCTTTCCCCACCAACAGAGGGATACAAAGGAGACACAGGTTCATACCCCATCACCCTGCATTGCTAATAAAATTTCCAGAATTAAGACTCAAGCTTACAGCTAGGAAAGTTTAAGAGCAATTTTCCCCTAATACTTAACAGTCTGCCTAGCAGCTAGAACCCAGAGTCTCTCAAGTATTTTGCCATTGAGTATGCCTTCTTATTCAATCCGCCTCCATGGACCCCTTCTTTTCCCATTACAAAGACCAAGACTGAAAGAGAAAGAAGAAAAGTGTTTCAAAAGAAGTGTTAATCAAGAAAGTCACATAAGTTTTAGCAGACAGAACCCCGATTAATAAGTTAACATTAAGTTAGTTTTCCGTGAATTGTCAAGCACTGAAGTCAACTAGGTCTCCAAAACGAGAACTTTCAAACTAGAAATATGCTGAAAACACTATAAACTGCATCCTGGAAGCCCAATCAGTGCACCTGCAGCACTGCATAAAATATCCTCAGACTAGCTAGGAGAAAAGTATGATCATTTTCTTCTGGGGCAAAAACAAATGACAAATTATTAGACTACTCCCCAAAACATAAACTTAAAAACTTAGATGAATACTTATAGACTTCTCTCCGAATTTAATAGGCTTGATTAAGTACAAACTATTAAGCCTGCCCAGTGAGACTCAATGTATCTATTAATTCCAGAGAAAAACCAAGACCAAATTTTAAAGAGCATTTTCAGTGCCATTCAGAAAAGGCCAAATAAAAAGTACTTAAGGCTTGTGCTTATTGATGTCCTCGCTGTGCTTTATTTTTGAATCTGAAATCCTGAAACAGGACTACTGTCTCCAACAACAAACAGGTTCTTCTAATGATGCAATTCAGAGGTCCAGCCCCAAAATACTTGTGCACGGCCAATTTTATACTTGCTACCACTAGATGTCAGTGGTGCCATTTAGTATAAAAATGTTATTCTAGTTTTGTCACACGGTTAATACTTCTTTTGAACAGATTTATCTGAACTCAGGTAATGTTTAGAGATATGTCTCTATTTCAATTATCTAATTTTCCTAAAGAAAAATACTCATAAGCATAACTCATATCAGAATAAGAGTAACCTTTAGGATAATCATAAGGAGATCGTAGAACCACGTCAGTAAATTACTGCTAGGAGGGGCTTCAAATTCATTCACATAGATTTGGTCTTAAAAAAATCAGCTATGGCAGGTCTGCCAATCTGAGGCCACGCAGCCCTCTTAATTTACAAAATATTTACAAATACATTTCAGTGTATTTATAAAGCAATTAGATATTATAATAAACCTTAATCTTATAAGTTTTTTTATGAAAAAGCAGTGAGACTTACTAAGTGTAGTAAGAATTCTGGTAAGTTGAAAATAATCAGGAAATACCAGAACCATATACATGAAATATTTCCTAGTTTTCAAATCTAAATCACACACAAACTTAGTCTTTGAAAATATTTCAGTAAACAGGTGGCTTATTACAAAACCTTATTCTAATTATTTCTCTCTTCCCCAACAATATTTCTAATAGAAAAATGAGTGAATGTTAATTCTTCCTTTTTTATGCTGAGCAGTAAATAATTAACACGCAGGGAAGAGATGCAAAGGCGAAAGACTCAAAAGGACTAAAGTAACCAAACAGTATGAATGACTTAATGTATGTGAATAACATGTGAATATTCTGTTTTTGAGTAAAGTCAGGATCTTAGAGACTAGGCTGTGTATGCAGCTGCTATAGAGTTGGTAAATCTCAAGCAAAGCAGTGCCTCCCTTCAGTGCTGGGCAGTTCACAAAAACCACCTTAATAGCCATTATGGACTAACACTTTAATTCAAAATGTTAAGGAAACTGCTTAATAAGTTGTAATGTAGCGTGCAACTTTTAACCAAAAGAGTACTCTGCTCACCTCTACCAGCTCTGCCGACAGCAACGTTGTATGTTGGCTCCCCACCTTGACTCTTTGTCCGGATGTCCATTGTGCAGTCACCATCGACGTATAGGCTATCTCTGATCACCGAGCACTTCTTTGCGCCAAGAGTCAACCCGTTGGTAAAGAAACCTTCCCGGTCTTTTCCTACAATCATATCTATTTCTACTGGCTGCCCCCACAAAAAAAAAAAAAAAGAAAAAAAGAAAGGAGGAAAGGAAAAAAAAACATGAAGTTGTAATTCTTTTCATGCCTCCATGTAAGTGGAAACAGTGTGCCAAGTTTGTATCGTATTGTATTAGAAGACATCCACATTTCACTAACATAAAATCAAGTTTGTTTTTTCTAAAGAATTACTTAATCCTGTATGACTACATGTTTTGTATCACTTCATTTCACATTTCACAAACTTACTAAAGACCAGTTTGTGCAAAGAATCTATGAAGTTGCACTAAACTGCAAACTTAACAGATTATTTATAAACTGTTACAAGTCAGGTGGTACCTGAAGTGCTTATGTGATGGTAAAGATTCACCTATAAACTCTTCTAACAACTGCTTGTCTGTCACATCCAGTCACATTACAGTTCTGCTACATCAAACTTAAAGTTGCTTGAAAGTCTCCTGAAATAATGCCCATGTTCACTTCTACTCTGCTTTAAATAGCCTGAAATATCCCCCACAGTATGAACTTCAAACCCTAGCCCTCAACACATTCCCAAATTCGTATCTCCCTCCTCTACTTCCCTAGCCACTCTCTTTTTCCTCTCCAACTTCCCTTCCCCTCCCACCTCAGTAACCACTTTTCTTCCAGGGCAAATGCAAAGAGGATTCAGCTGGTAGCACTGCAGTAGGCAACGGTAAAAAAACAAACAAAAAAACCCGGAGAAAATGGAGGGAGACCGGGAAAGAAACCGAGGTAGTCGCCAGAACCGGAAAGGAGAAAACGTGCGTTCTAACATTCCCTGAATAAGAAGGAAGGCGTCGCCCCCATCAGAACTGCAGAGTCATAGCAGGCCCCAGCCATTTCCAAGCACACTCCCGCAATCTTCCCAGCCAGACAGCGGGAACTCACACACAAAGACAAGAGGACTGCAGGAAAAAAGTTGATCGCCAGACAGATGCCAATTCTCTATAATAACTGTACTCCACTGCGATTAAAGGAGATCTTAAAGTACCGGTATCAAGGACTGAGTTCTACAGTTAGATCTTAAGCCATGTTAAGTAGTACAGAATAATTAGTAGCACTCATAATAGGGGGCCTGAATTCTGGCATTTGATGGGAGAGGAGCGTGGGGCTATTAAGGGAATGCCCCTGTATTTGACACAATCGTCACAATCCAAAAACAGCCATGTGCAGAAAGAGGCAAAACAATACAGCAGCACTGGAGGATTAGTGACAATTATCCCCCAAACATGTGGCAACCAAGTCAAAACCATTAAGTCACAAGAAAATCAAGCATTGTAAAGCATAAATCTGCATTAGTTTCTTTACTATCTTCACCAAAGAGGGAGGGACTTGGAGAAGTGAAGTGTCCCTTCGGCTTTCACAGATTACTGTAAGCCCCATAAAAGCACCCCCTTTTTTAGAGCTATGTTGCGTAATTGGGGATAACGGTATATCGATGAATCTCCATAGGAGGAGGAGAGAAATCAATGGCAGTTCGCCATCTTGGAGAATTAAAAAAAAAAAAAAAATCCTATGGAGCCAGAGCTGAAGTCGAGATTCACGAATCCACCTACGTTGTCGGCGTACATTTCTCTCAAGCCCCAAAGGCCTGGACACCCGCAAACCTACGCAAAGTCGCTGCGAGGATCCGGGGGCCGGGCAGCCGCCGCCTCCCACAGCCCGCGGTGCGGGCGGCGCGCTGTCCGCGGAATCGAGGGGCAGCCCGGCCGCCGGACGACCCCCACCCTGGACCCGCGCACACCCGCCCGGCCCCTCCAGCCCCCGCTTCCACCCCGGGACATGCAAAGCAAACCTCAGGGTTTGCAGGAGACCAGAGAGAGCCTTGCGAAGAGGAAAAAAAACCCGCCCCCCCCCACCCCCGCCGGTGCGCCCCCCCCCCCCTCCTCACGGACAGGCACTGGGAACGCCGGGGGCCGCCGTGGCAGTCAGGGAGCCAGGGAGCCAGGCCGCCGCCCCCTCCAGGTCAGCGCAGCCCCGGGCGAGGGGGCGTCCCCGGGCCTCGGCCTCCCCGTCCGCCCCGCAGCCGCATCCTCGGCGCCAGCTGCCTACCACACCTGCCGGCGCGGCCCTCCTGTACCCACAGCCGGCCGGCCCCGCTCGAGTCCGGGGACGAGAAGGGGAACCCGGACCGCCGCCGGTCCTCACCGTAATGCTCTGGAAGACGCCCCCGGCCGTGGCTGCCCAGACGTATTTGGCGTCGCAGTAGCCGACAATGGCGGCCTCCTGGCAGCAGCCATCGCACATCAGGTTATCCACGTAGCTCTGCCAACCGGCCATCTTCGAGCCCTTCGCACTGCAGCGGGGACGGCAAGGAGCAGCAGGCGCAGCGGCGGCGGCGGCGGCGGGCGGCGGCGGCGCGGGGGGAGGCGGGGCGGGGGCGGGGAGGAGGCGGCTCTGCGCAGGCACCGACCGCCCCCCTCCCCGAGGAGCTGCGGAGGGAGGACGCGGGGACGGCGAGGAGGGACAAGCGGCGGAGCGCGCCCGGCCTGCCTGTCCGCCCGCCCGCACCGCGGGACTAAGCACCAGCGGCTGCGGAACGGCTGTGCGGGCGGCGACGATGCTGGCGGCGGCTGCCCCTTCTCACCGCGGCACCTTTCAGTTCTCCGCGGCCGCGGAGGGGCGGGCGGGCGTGCGCGCGCTTGTGCGTGCGATCCTTCCGCGGCGCCCCGACTCGAAGGGTCCCGGGAAGGGAGGGGCAGACTGAGGCGGGGGCGCGGAGGGATACCGCTCTGGGACAATCACGGCTGCCACGTGCGGCAGAGAGGTCCGGTTGCGGTGAGGTCGCTGGGGGCGGCTGCCCGAGGCCTGCGGAGGAGGTGGCTCCTACGTCGCATTGGGCACCCCGGGGATGGGGGCGTCCGGGACGCCTCCAGTCCCCGAGGCTGGGGCGTGATGCGCCTCTCTTCTGCGTCCGGTGGCTGGGGATGCGGAATCTTGAGCCTTGGTGTTGGATTGCCGAGTTGCCCTGGTGACGGGATGTGGCGCGTTTACTCCTGCTCGTGGTGGGGGTGGCAGTGGCAAGGTCGCTCACGCTCAACGCCGGCGTCCTCAATGGGACCCTCTTCCCTGGGGGGCTCAGCAGCCGAGAGGGCCCATCCCGGCAACCTGAAATCCGAGCTGGCGTTTGTGCTCTCAGGACCATTTCTGAGCTTTGCCAGTCTTTCATTGTTGCCTCATTTGGGTACCAAGGCTTCGCATTCTCTGGATTCTTTGACAGTAAGAACGCCTTTAAGACTGCTAATCACCTGTGGCTAAATTACTCAAAATTCCGGATAAAACCAATAGCGACCTATGTAAACTATTGTTGGCTACTGGGAAAGTTAGTGGCGGATCAATGAAATCACTGAAAAAACAAGGAATAAAAGATCTAAGAAAGGGTTCCCCGGCTGAATATAATACAGTTTCTGCTATTTAAAGGTAAAATAATTGCAGGTCCCAGGTCTGAGAATGGCTTGTATTTACAAGGCGGAGTCCCTGTGATTCTCTCATCTCTTCGGTAATCTCTGGGTGCTTTGACTAGACAAGGAATTAGGAGACGACCTACAGCAATTTTAATTTTAAGTGAACAAAAATGATCCGCCAATCAAGGAAAGGAAGAAGGCTCATTTAAAACGTTGAAAAGTTAATTTCAAATTTAAAGTTATCCTGTAAGGTCACGATTTGTTAAACAGCTGTAGCTCATGAAAGAAGACAAACTGGTTGCTAAACAATTTAATTGGTTCTGAAGCTTTGTATTTTTTCTGCTGTTTGCTTTAATATATTTTCTGCTGAAATCAGCTACTGCAGGGGCGGGGGGCGGGGTACAGTAGGAGAACCCCCAAGTCAGGAACCTATCAGATTGAGACAATGTATTTTCTCATGTTCTGATGATACAGAATACATATGTGGTATAAAATGTGTGCCAAAAATTGTTTCATTTTTGCGTGTGTGCCTAGTTACACTTACTGGTTTATTACTTTACCTCTTTGTAGTGGTGTTTGATGGTTTTAATCCTTCAATCTTAGTTTATCACCTTAAAAGCTGATAATACAGTGTGTTGATAGCACTGAATATGGTCACTTTGTGAGAAATCACCAAGCTGTACAGTTAAAATTTGTGCTTTTAGTATGCATGTTATAATTCAATAAATTTAAACAAAAAAAATAAGAGAAAATAAAATAATTTAAAGTATATTGAAATTGAGTGTTATTTATTAACCTACTCTAAAGTTTTTGAGATTTCATTTCTAGACGATTAGAGCAAAGAGTTGGAAATAACTGCATTCCATTTTTATTCTATTGTTGGCTTTAAACAACAAAAGGATTATACCAACCGAATATTCTGGATATTCAAATCTCAAAAGGTTTTAAGAAGATTCTCAAACACATCTATTGGGTAATACATTCCGAAGAATTTAGAATTTGTCCTTTTTCCATATTTTTTCAAAATTTGATACACTTCAACATTACCATTTTACTTTTTCAACAGCGTTATTACTTTCCCAGAATTGCATATAGTAAAATTTAAACTATGAAAAAAACATTTTGTGTAATAGATTAAATGAGGCTTTACAGTTTAGATTTTTAGATAATATATTCAAAGGAATCTACTTACTGTCTGTTTTTAGTACAAACATTCCCCTACTTACTATGGTTCAATTATTATTTTCCAACTTTACCATGATGTAAAAGCCATAGGCAGTCAGTAGAAACTGTACTTTAGATTTTGAATTTTGACCTTTTCCCTGGTTAGTGGTATGCAATGTGATACTGGAGATGCTGGGCAGCCAGTCAGCAGTCAGCTCCCAGGCAGTCCCGCAATCACAAGGGTAAGCAACTGATACAACCATTCTATTTTTCACTTCCAGTATTCAGTAAATTACATAAGACATTCCATACTTTATTTTAAAATAGGCTTTGTGTTTGATGATTTTGCCCAACTGTAGGCTAACGCAAGTGTTCTGACCACATTTAAGGTAGCGAGGCTAAGTTTTTGACGTTTCTAAGATATATTAATTGCATTGTCGACCTTCAATAGTTTCAGTTTACAATGTGTTAAGATCTGTACTATTATAAAATAATCCTGTGCCTATTTTCTTTAGAACGGGTTTCCCAGCACTCTGTCTTATTTCTATTTGTATAAAATGATCTGTTACTATTTCATATAACTTGTGTACTGCACACATGCTTCAAGAGGCATAAGTAGAGGTTAAACACTGAGTTTTAGGAATAGCAATGTGTTATGTCCAAAGGAGTGTCAATATGAAAAGAAGAATTAACAATTTGTATCTTTCTCTAGGTTCTGTTCTTGTTTTTGTTTTCAGGGTAACTGACCCCTACAGTGATAATACTGATGTCTGGGCAGTAGAGAAAAATCGTAGCTCTGTTGATAATAGGTAGCCAGAATGATGGAGCCTTTAACTATCAGTGGTAGCATATTTAAATTAGGAATGAGTTCTTACGCATTCTTTCCAAAGTTTTTAAATTCTTATTTAGGAAAACAGAAACTATGTAGTAAATCAGATTCTTTAACGTATCAGTCAAGGTATGTCTGAACTTTTTAAGTCCGTGAGTAAATCATTAGACATTTTAGCAAAAACACAAAGAAAAAGGAGTTAAATTGGTTAAAATGTATTCAACCCATTAAACATTTGTGTAGACTAAAACTACATAACTACCACAAATATAGTAATAATTAACTAAGCCCACCCCGAGCCCCCAGTTAACTAAAATTTCACCTCCATACTTATTTTTTGGAAAAAGTGTTTTAATTGTAAACATAATTATCAAAACAATAAAATTTAGAAAATGGAGAAAAATCACACTTAATCTCATAAGCAATGCAAATGATGTCGTTTGAATGTTTTCACTTGTTTTATTTATGATTTTTATAGTAAAGAACATGGAGTACCTACAATTCTGGATTTGTCCATTTTATCCTGAAACTCAATGAATTTTTGCTTTTTATAGCTCGAGGTTATTCAATTGGATGCATACAAGTTAAAATTGTTGTATTATCTTTCTGATATATTTAACCTTTACATTAGGTAGTGGCCCTCTTTATTGCCAATAATGTGTTTCGTCTTAACCAACTGGGCCACACAGGTGCTCCATACATGGATTTTCTACTGCATGAGGGATACGTGCCCCTAACCCCTGTGTTGTTCAAGGGCAACTGTATATATATACATTTGGTACTTACCATTCCTTCTTACATCCCAGATCGTTATTCTATGATCCTTCTTCCTGAAGTAAATCTTTAGAAGTTCTTTTAATAGAGTTCTCCTAGTAAATTGTGTATATTTGTTTATTCAAAAATGTTTTTGTATCACTTTCATTCTTAAAAAAATAAATTGAATTTATAATACAAGACCAACACTTTGAAAATACGGCATTCATTCTGGCTTTCATCATTGCCAGTTGTGTTTTTATGAATGATCTGTTCTTTTTTTCTGGCTACTTTTGGAATCTTTTTGTCCTTGCTGTCCTTCAGTTGCACTATGATGTATCTATATCTATGTTTCTTTTATTCTACTTGGAAAAAATAGGTATATATCCATGATCACTTCTGGAAAATGCTCAATCATTATCTCTTCAATTATTCCTTTTACTCAGTTCTCTCTCTTCTTTTGGGATTCAAAATAAATGTTTCCTTTTCCTCTTCTCCACATCTCTTAGCTTCTCTCATATTTTCTGTCTTCTCTCTGTACTGCATTCTGGGTAATTTCTTCAGCCAAAAGTTACAGTTTACCCTTCAACTGTGTTTCACCTGCTGTTAAACCCCTACAATGAGTTTTTCTTAAAATCTGTTTTCCATTTTTAGAAGTTTCATTTTATTATTACCCAGATCATTCTCATTCCTGATGGTCTCTAATTGCTTGCCTATCTTTGTGGTTCCCTACTTTATTTCTTCAAACATCTCTTACCTTATTATTCTATACTCTGTATCTGACAATCCCAGTATCTAAATAAGTTGTACGTTTTTACCTCTCTCACTCATGATGGCTTGCCTCCTGTATACTTGGTGATTTTAGACTGTGAATTCATATTTCCTTGATCTTAATATATGGGAACTCTGATGGCTTAAATTGAAGACAATTTGTTTCAAAGATGATTTGCATCTGGTTCTGCCATATGCCCAGGAGTACCAGCAACTGGGGCCACTTTAACCCTTCCTATGATGCCCCCTAAATGCAGGAATATCTGATTCACTTCCTAACATAGAGCTGTTATTGGCATTTGCATTCAGACCAACCCCATCTCTCCAGCTTGCATACAGACCCTTCCTCTAGTTTCTGCTCAAGATTTATTTCTCTTTATTTGGTGGGAAGAGGGGGTCTTCGAAGAGATTTCTAATTTCTGAGTGCCAGGCAAAATAGCAAAAAAATGGATTTGATCCAGTATCTTGTTGTTTTGTAGCCAGAGAATACCCCTACAATATTTAGTTCAACAATGATGCCAGAAGCAGAAATCATAACCACAATTGGGAATCTTCTGTGCTTTATTCACTATGAGTTTCTGGCTTGGGTACTGGCTGGTGCTATTTACTGAGACATGGAATATAGCAAGATGAACATCATCAAGGAGGAAAATGTTTAGCTTAGTTGACTTTTTAGTACTTGTGAGACATCTAAGTGAAAATGCTGTATGGCAGTTACATGTACAGCTCTGTAGTTCAGAGGAGACATCTGGACTTGAGATAACACTTCAAAAATGAGTAGAGGAAGAGAAGTTTACAGTGAAAGCAGAATGAGTGGCTAGAGAAGTTGGGTGGAGAATCAGGAATGAGCTACGTCATAAATGCCCAAGGAAGAGAGTTTTTCCAGATGGTAGGAATGGTTTAAGAATAGCAAATAATACTAAAATGTCAAATCGGAGTACTGGAAGGTGTTCATTAAATTAGCAACAGAGAGGCTGTTTTGGAAACAGACAAACAGATTTAGGTGAATGATGGCGAATAAACCAGATTGCAATGAGTAAAGGAAAAAATGGAAGGCAAGAGAGCTGAGACTTTTCTTCATTCAAGAATTTTGACAGTAAAGGGAGAATAAAGAGAGAATTAGCCAAACGGAAATTATGGATAAAGGAGGGGGTGGTGGCGGTTGTTTTATTTAGAGAGTTTCAAACATGATTAAATGATCATGAGACAACACTATTAAAGAAGGAGATGTAAAAGATATAAGAGAAGGAAGATAATGCCTCAAGGCTCTGGAACACTTAAAAAAAAAAAAAAATGGCCTGGGATCCAAAGCATGGTTGGATAGAAATGCCCTTAGAAAAAAGATGGGGCACCTTCATTGTAACAGCAGTATATGATCGTGACTTTCTCTTCTTTTTATGGCACTATGATATGAATACAGAAAAGTGAACTTATCATAAATATATACCTTGTGAATTTTCACAAAGTAATCTCACCCAGATAGCCAGTATCCAGATGAAGAAACAGGATGATATCAGGATCCCAGGGATCCTCTTTTGGCCTACTTTAAGTCACTACTCTCCTCTCAAAAATTTAACTACTTTTGTGACTTCTTAGAAGTCATAGAATAAATGTGGTTATTGTTGAACTTTATGTAAGTGGGTTCACACAATAGGTCCTTCTCCATGACTCTGTCTGGCTGCTTTTGCTTCAGCGTTTGTCAGTCATCACAGTGTTGAATGTAATTGCAGTTTGTTCATTCTCATTACTGTAGAATATTCCGTTATCTGACTATACCATCATTTGTTTATCCCTTCTACTCTTGGTACATATTTTGTTAGTTTCTAGGATTTTGCTATTAGGAGCATAACCACTTTTTGGCATGTATTTTGGTGTGCAGAGGTCAGTATCTACCTAGGAATGAGATTGCCAGCTCATAGGTTTGGGTTTAGTAGATACAAATAACATTCCAAAGAGCTACCATTTTACCTTGGAACCAGCAATGTATGACGGTTTCAGTTGTTCCACATCCTCACCAACATTTGGCATTTCTCTCTTTTTAAGCATAAACGTTTTACTGGGTATGTGACGGTAATTTATTATGGCTTTAATTTGCATATTCCCAATGACAAAAGTGAGCACATTTTTCATATATTTATTAGTCATTTGGACACTTTCTTTTGTGAAGCATTTGTATAAAACTTTTCCCATACATTTGTTTGGATTAACTAGGGAGTAA